ACGTTCGGACCCTAGCGGGATCTCAGGGAGGCTCGCGCTTCCGCAGCCACCACTATCTTGAGGTCCATCAGCAACGTCTGATAACCGACTGAGGTCCTTGTCGAACGAACGGACGGGTCGAGTTGCAATCTGGCACGATATGAGGCGAGCATGGTTGCTACCAGTGATGCCACGAACGTGGAGAGAGAAATGGCAGACTCGTACAACTCGATGCCGGGCCGGACGTCAGTCTCATAGTAAGTCCGTGCATTCCGGTCGGCTCCCTGATATGTTTGCAGAGAGTGGACGCTTTTAGCCAGCCTTACGATGCTCTGCAACGCCCTATCTACCTTCGGGCAACTTTCCTGCCCAAAGATTGTCGGTATCCCTTCTTGTGATTCGGGGGACGCAACCACAGGTGACGGGGGCCTCTCCTGCAGGAAGGGCCGCAATGTAGAATATGATGGTTATCATGGCCACGTTGAAAACGCCAAATGCCTTGACCATGAACACCTCGATGTATAGAGCCAGACTAGCATCAGTGAGTTGAAAAACGACGTCTCTAGACCCAACTTTGGCCACAAGCTGTCCTCGTTCCTCGTTGACCCCGGTGACAGTACTAAAGATATTCCACCCACCGTCGTCATCCTTGGTGACGGCTGGCCGATGGTAGTCCACCGAATCGCCTACTCAGATAATTATGCCACCTTCCACTTGGGTTATCGTCTTGAAAGCCCTGTTCACTTTGGCTGTAGCAGTGGCCTGAGTAATAGCTTCCAGGGCAATCTCACGGATGCGGCGTTCACGTTCCTGGCATGTGGTCTTGGGTTCCTCGAAATCTGGACCTTCAAGGTCCGGAGACATGGGTGGTTGTCTGCTGGTGTAGGCTTTGTATGGGAAACGTCCGTCATAGAAGGCAAATGCGCTGCAAGCGAACAATGGTTCGGCCAGTGGCCTGTGGAAAGCAAAGGGGATGTCATGCCTTCTGAGATCTTCTCCATTGTGCGCATGACGCCTCTGAGGATACCGCTTCGGGCCCCAATAGTCTGAGCGTGTTGTCCTGAAGCTCGAATACGGAGTTCGGTTCCCAATGCTTTCACCTGGCGCTTGATCTCATCGCTGTTGAGGCCTCCTTCACCATCGAAGTATAATACGTAGCACACCGCAGTTGCGAATAAGAGGGAGGGGGCAGCGGGGACATCGGCAGTCTGCGAAGCTCTGAAGAAGCCCGCCCCAGGCGGCCCAAAAAAAATACAACAAGCTCGACGCAGGCGCCGATGTTTTGGTTAAAACGAGGTGGGTAGGTCGCAGGATGGGTCTCGGGTGGGTCGCGGGGTTGATGACGGGTGAGTCGCGGGTGGTTTGCGGGCCGGGTCGCGAGTGGGTCGCGGATGTGTCGCGGGTGGGTCGCGGGCCGGGTCGCGGGGGGACGACAACAAACAATAAACAACAAACAACGAACCAACAACAACAACAACAACAGCAACAACAACAAGGACAACAACAACAACAACAACAACAACAACAACAACAACAGCAGCAACAGCAACAACAACAACAACAACAATAACAACAACAAT